TATATTTATACATATATTTATATATACAAAAAAAAGAAAGTAACGAATTATCTCTGTTAAAATTCTGATGTTCGAATATTCGCTTTTCAGTACTATTGCCGAAGATAACGTGATTTAATGGAATGATTGGACGAGTAATATGATCTTGAACGGGAATCCCGCTTCGTAATACCTGAAAAAGAAAAATTTTAAAAAATAAAAAAAAAACCACTTTGAATTATACACATTGCACACTTTATTTCAGACACAAGTTAAAATTAATAAAATATTGTACAATAAATAAATATCATGGGTTTGATGCAGACGAAGATGTAACAAATATACAATATGGACTTAAAACGTAGAAATAAGGTAAAAATTGGCGCAGTAAAAATAATAACATATAAAATTTTGTGTAATACACATACGAAACAGAATATTCATCCAAGGTTAACAAGGAAAACGATTTTTACAATCCCAACTTATGGATTAAGGATTATTAGGAAAAAATATGATAGCTTTAATTTTCTTTAGAAAGTTAAAAAAATTTATTTATAATTAAAAATGATTACTTGTAGACATGTAAAAAATAAAAATAGAAAATTTTAAAAATGTAAGTGCATATATCTCACTTTCTAACTTTTGAAAAATCGATATTTTAGATTTTACCTCAATAAAATATTTAAGTAATCTCAAAGATTATATGCACATACATTATTTTGCTGATATAAAACCGATATTTTCTCATACACAAAAATCTTCTTATAATTTGGCAAGATGTGCAGAGATAGAGGCAAGAGCATTAGGAACTTTGGAGCTGACTCACCGGCAGTTACAATGCAAATTGCATTGCAGTCGCAAATGAGGAAAATCTCCTCATTAATAGGGTTGATGCCTCTGGTTCTGACGACCACCACCACCACCTCTCTGCTTGCCACCATAGCCTGAACCTCCTGAAACATACCCATGTAATGCACATTGTTAGTCAAACCCTCCCACCCAGTTGCATATAACGCTAGTTTATCCATACAAGAAATTAAATGATATGTAAATTACGAAAGAAAATGTCAAGCCATATCTCTTTGAAAATAATAGAGCTAAAATAATAGATATAGTACAAGCCGAAAGAAGGCTATTGAGTATCTATGTAAAGGCTACAGGCTAAGGCAGTAAGCTGCAGGCTGCGTTCCAATTTATACTTTTCTTATCTTCCTTATATACATTTCTATAGCTATCAATGACTAAATGTGAGATAATATTTGAGGGTACATATATCGTGTTAGAAACAGAAAAAACAGAATTAGATTTTTATGGAAAGATTAATATAAAGACATTGCAATGTTTTTTCACGCTCACAAGAAGAATCGTTACCGATATCCAAAAGTTGACCAAGTATATATTTTATAATATACATCAGTCAAAAATTTATTGCACTTTTATAATATAATTTACAATAATTTGATCACATATTTTTTGTCATCTAATGAAAATAATTTTTCCATAAATTTATGTGTGTGTGTGTGAGAAATTATATTCATCTCCATATGTTTCACATGTATACACATATCAACATAACAATTATAAAACAAATAAAGGTAAAAGATAAAGAAAACAGATATTCAAGTAAGGGACAGATAGCAAGAGATGAAGAGAAAGAGAAAGCGGATAAGTGAGATTTTTGATTTTGTGAGAAACAAAAAAACCATAGATGAATGTAATTAATATGTACAAAAAATTACGAATATGGACGATGGAATATATGCCGTTCAAAATGTCATCAATAAGGGATAAATATGAAATGCATGGGAGAGAAAGGACGCTATAATGCGTACCTTTGCCGCGTGCACCACGCCCACCACTGTAGCCACCATCGTAATTACCACCGCCGTAGCCGTATCCGTCTGCGTTTCATGGAACACACGGCATAAAGAGCATAATGGGATCAGTTGTCGTATATGTACCGAGACATAAGATCGTTCATTTTCTTCTACATTAAAAGGAAATATCTATGCGCGTGTATGGCGCTTGAAAACAACGATAATTAATTATATATATTTAATGTAATGATACTAATAATTTCATTTGTCTAATATTAATAGTTCTATTTTTTTGTAGAGCACCTTCCACGAAATATATCACGAAAGCCAGTAATTGACTGTACTACATAATGCAATATTTTACATTAATAAAAGGCAGCTTTCTTGAAGTTTCTGAATACAAAAATTGTTGAGAAAGGATGCAGAGATTGTTGGAGCACACTTGGAATGATTTAGCAGTTGCGTGAATGCAAAAATGACATGCACATAAAGTTTATGTCGTTGAAACGATTTATGCCATGCTGAAAATGGTTTGTCACTATATCAAAACAAAAATAATAACATAATAATCTTTTTAAAAACTCGAAAAATTAATAAAGACAAAGAATAAGGCATTTTTATATGTAACAGATCATAAGTTTTTAAATATTTTTTGATTAGATAAAATATTAGGATACACAGAGAAATTGTTCAGCTCGTATTCTCTTTAATGGATCGTAATCAACTTTAATAGATACAGTGCCTTTTGATTTAAATAGCATGTCGGATAAGCTAATCTTGAAAATCATACGAGATACAATCATTCTCATCATTTTCATGTGTTGTAGCGAGAGCATATATAATATGTTTAGCCTTTGTGATTTCATCGCGTTTGACATGCTCGTTATGAAGTATGGAATAAATGAGAAACAGCATGCGAGGATTGTAGCGAGATCAAAAGCAGGAGCAAAGAATTCAATGTACAGTCTCATACAAATAGTCTCCTATACAGCTTTACTTTAACCTTCTCTACACAACACATACACCTTGCAGTTTCATGTATGTTAATATAATGTTGTAGTGAATGCATGATTTCATGAAGTCCTAGGAAACAATAAAAGATATTTTAAAACGAGATTTAAAAAAAGTGACTATTAAGATCATTGATTTGCTGACATTAATCAGTGAATCTATGAGAATACTTTCGCATAATTTATTGAACCTGCCATTTTAATATTACATCTTGTAATATGGACCAATTACACAATTTTATGTTAATATAAACATAATTTTATTAATAAACGCCTAATTAAAAAAAAATAGATGCTATATAATACAATTTATATTAATTTAAAGATGTTTAAACTGTTTAAGGATCACAAAAGATATTGTAAAAACTTTCTCTGTCTCTTTGTCTTCACGCATTTACTGACAACTTTATGTTATATTTATTCATGTATATGTGTATGCGTATGTGAATATATCCATCAAAGAATATAACTCAGCAAATTATTAGAGGTAGATTAGTTGGTTATAGTTAAATGATTAGCCAAACACCCCGGAAATAGAAGATTTAAAGTGGAAAATAAGCAGAATTATGTTTGATTCACATAATCTTTGAATCCTGATTGCATGAATGCATAAATAGCTATTATAGATTGCATCATGCTATATGTTGGAAGAACAATCCAAAAGACATATTTCGTGAGCATGAGTCGCTGGTTTACATTGGCTATGTATGTAGAGCAACATAGTCGACGATAAACTAATTAGCTTTTTACCATTGATTAGAAAATAATTTCTTGCAATCCTTTACAGTTTACAAAACTGACATATAGTCAATAAATTAAATTTAACACAAATATATATATATAAATGTCAGTACGTGTATATGTATGTATATATATATATATGTATGTATATACTGACAATTATAGTTGATCTATTTGTAAACCAACACTCGCACTCTATCAAATTACGATTAATATCACATTATGTTTTATCACCTTGTATAATAATATATACATAAAATGTCAACTTCTGATCATTCCATTTTTTTGCATGACTAAATATTGCATACTGACGAAGCAGATGATGTTGGTTTGTCTTTTAGCTTACTTTAGTAAAATAAAAATTTTTGCAGTAAAAACACTATTGATTAATTAGAAAGAAAAATTGAAGCAGCATAGCGACTCAGATGTGCGACAAAGGAATTAAAGCAGACATAATATGCATATAATTTTTTTTCAAAATGCTCGTCTTAATCGCGTCTGCCGAATACACTGGGACGGTAACAATGGATAATCATATCTGCCATTGATCACTTTTTTTTCTCGAAAGAAAAAAAAATAAAACAAAAAAAAGCAAAGAAAAAAATTCTCGACAATAATCGCACAGACGTTGAATCTGTCGCCGCGACTCTAATAATAATCAATAAAATTACCGTATCCACTGTAGTCGTAGCCACCGTAACCTCCGTACCCACCGCCACCGTAATAATCGTATCCATATCCATCGTAGCCACCGCCGTATCCTCCTTGGCCGTAGCCACCGCCATAACCACCGCCGTAGCCGCTTTGTCCCCATCCGCCTTGACCGAATCCACGGCCTCGGCCACCCCTGGCACCACGACTACCACGATTGCCTGGTCCTCCGCGCATACCAATCATACCATCGGGCTTGGGTGTCGCCTTCTTTACGTCGACCTATTTGAGATTTATTAAGGTAGTCGTTATATTCGTAATGAAAAATATCATTTAAATTAAAATCTTTCTTGTCTTGCGTCAAACTTTTATAACCGTCTTAGGAGAAAGAGGGAAGAATTCGTACACATATTTTAACATTTATAATGTTCATCGTTTAGAATATTCAAAAAGAAACTTTATAAATAAGATTTAGTATTTGAACAAAGGCCTTGTAATAATGAATATAATAGTTGTATATTTACTCACCTCTTTACCATTTATCGTTTGTTTCGAGGTTTTTAGTAGTTCATTAACAACTTGTTCAGATTCGAAAGTGATGAAGCAGAATCCCTTCCTCTGATTCTTTGTTTTATCGAATGGCATCTCTACTTCGACGATCTAAAAGATTTTCCAATATTCCGCCGTTATTCATAGGAAATGCTGATTTAAAGTATTTGACGTGCAAAAAATGATATAATGCTTACAGTTCCAAATTGCGAGAAGAAATTCTTGATGTCGTCGTCGGAAAGTTCCGTTGAAAGACCGCCGACAAATATTTTACCGTGTCTGGCTTTCGCTTTCTTGGGATCAACTTTTTTATTATTAATAACATGATCACCAGCTGCCATAATCTGAAAATTGTATGTTTCTTACAAAATAGTTGTTTTGGTATAAAAATGTGATGGTTCATTAAAAACATTTCTTATAAAGATTCAGAAAAGAATTATCGTCACATATATTCAGCAGCAGAACTGGTATAGTATCATCATTTCATATATATAAGAGCAAAAAAACGGTATAAAAAATTCAAAACTATATACCTTATCGAGAGATTCAGCCTTAGCAAAGACGATAAAGGCAAACCCTCTTGATCGCCCTGTATTAGGATCTGTCTTGACATTGATGCTTTCAATATCGCCGTATGTACTAAAATGTTCCCTCAGTTCCTCTAAAAATTGATAAAACGATCTTTGTAGAAATCCTTAAAATTTATTTAATATAACACACACTCGAGTCATTTAAAATATAATTATATAACTAATCGTTATATTAAGCTCAGTAAATAATTCTTTTCACATGACATTCTCTTGATATTGTCATCCAAAGGTGTCCTAAGAAATTACATCATAGCATGTTTTTTTATTTTCTCTGATTTTACAATTTTTTAGAACTTTGCAGAGTTTACTACCGTTTAGAGATAATTTTATAAAGCGAGAGTTACTCACTGTCGGTTGTTTCCCAACTTAAACCGCCAACAAATAATTTCCTGCGAAAAAAAAAAAAACAGGAAATTAAAATTAATGGAAGCAAACAGAAGGTATTTTTAAATCTTTAATTACTACCATGGAACCGAATATTTATAGCGAGCAATTTACAGTTTATCAGTTTAAATAGGATCGTTATTCAGGATTGCGATGTCAGCAAATTGTCAAATGTCTCTGCAACTGTGCGCAAAAAAGTTATCTGTAATAAAAACGGTAAAAGATAGCGCATAGTAATGTGCCTCGGCCTCTTTCGCAAGTGACTATTACAAGTTATGAAATAATCGCGTAGCTGATTATCACCTGGATGCGTAACTTTTGCATTTCTAAGTTTTTCATCATCTCGTATTATCGCATGCAATTTTCCTTGCACTTTCTTAACACTTCCGTTATGTTGTTACGTTAAAAAAAAAAGAAAAAGAAAAAAGTAATAAAGATTGAAAATACCTATCGTTCAGAGAATCCTGGTTAGCTCCAGCTGACCTGTAAAGCAACGGAACGAATTTATTTCACCAGATGAATTTTTCAAACGTGGTAATTGATAGTAAGAACTGAGATCGAAGCGAAAATTTTACTTTTGATAAACGAGAAACAATTCCATTTATTATTGGAAAAAAAAGGAATATTGAATTGATCCCTGGAAAGATCAGAATCAATGTTAAGATATGAAAAAATTGAATGCAGACGCGCGATATATGCAAGAAACAGACCTGTAGTGTCATTCGCAAAAGGGGCACTGGATTGATTTAATCGAAAAGATTTAGGTAGGGAATTTGATTTAAACAAATGTGTATATATTATATCGCACACATGTAAGTATAAAAGACTATATATAAATATTTATAAATATATATATATCTATGATGCATATGTTTAAGCTACAACTAATTAAACCACTAACGTCGAAATTTAGAAAAGACTTCTTAATAAACGTAATAATCACAATTCACATAGGAATTATAAGAATATAGGAGAATATCATTCCTAGAGTTATGAAAATAGCTTATTATATATATATATTCAATCTTTGTGAAAAATTACGAGAAACAATCATGAGAAGACTGCTTTGCACACCACAGAGACCTTGAGATTCGAACGTTTTATGGTAAAAAATAAAAAATAAATAAATAAATAAAAATAAAAGAAAATGAAAAACTTGGAAAAAAGTAGATATATATACGTAAAAAAAAAAAAAAAAAAAAAAAAAAAAAAAATTGGTATTACTTTGCACAACGTGTATCTTATAAGTCTTATAATATCTTATAAAAAGAAAGCATTTCGCTAGCAACTAATAAAAAAATCAATGCATTGAGAGAGTAAAGTACTATTATATTGACATTCATATATGAGAACCCAAGCAATAGTTACAACTCCAGTTGACATACAGCTGCGCCTAAAGGAAACAAGATTTAATTTTTCCAAGTGGTACTCTGACTGCTGATTGGCCCAAAGAATATGGCATATGCTAGGATAGACTGCAACTCTATATCCAAAAGCTAAAAAAATTGTTTTTACATTACAATTTAATGATAGACGATTATTGATACTTTCGATTGACACATCTATGTGTACATAATATAGATCAATAGTATCGAATATTTATTTCTATTTATATATGTACGTATATTATTCTATGTATATATATGTATGTGCTTGTTTCTCTCTCTTTCTCATTCTCTCTGTCTCTTACTGTCTTTATATAACGCTCATTGACAAATATACAATGCAAGAATTGTCTCAAATCTTGATATATGTATATATTTCTCGTTCTTTCTTTGTATTTTAACGATGAGTTACAAGCTCTGTTTTCTATCGCTTTTCTGCCAGTTTATTCAACATAATAATTGATCTGTTATTACTAATATATCTGATTTCTTTAATATCGTCTAGGGCTGGTGATAAATACCGTGGGCACCAGTCACATCACACGCCGGTAATCAGTAGCTGGTCGGGTCATGTTTTCCATCTGCGAGCCGCCCGCCATGTGAAAACCGTTGTTGATCACCTGCAGATCAAGCCACATAAACTGGAGTTAATGGCGTTCCGACCTACTGGAGATTTTTGCATTGGCCCTAGTGATTCTGTGCTTTGGTCACGCCCAAACAGCATTTGGATCGGAAATTACTCTACGCGTGACCCAGCAGACAAGTGTGTATCTGTGCGAGACTTATCAATCTGACAGAATTAACTCGACTTCCACTTCGCTTCGTGAGGGAACGTGATGGACTTGAACTTGACGTAGACTTCTCGTAATAATTCTGACTTTGAAATCACTGTATAAGGCTTCACACGGTTTCAGTTCACACAAATCCAGATAAATGTATATATTGTCAATCGTAAGCAATTGACTATTACCAGAATTCAGCTGCAATACAATGTACAAGGATAGAAGACTCAGCTGGCCAAAAAATTGTATATTTGAAAGTTTACGCTCTATAAAGATATTACGATTATTACTTGCGTGATGTTGTGACAAATCTGATCGACTGCAGAACCCACAATTTTTGTCTTTATCAATTACAGAACTATAATTAAGTAATTAGATAAGAGGAATGGAAATAAGGATTTTACACAGAGTTACAAAACTTCAACAGATAAATATGTATACCTTGTAACAGCAGCACATATAAAGTTACAGACTAATGCTTATTCATATTATGCACAAGTATCTTATGTTACTCTTGCAAAATGTAGCATGCAATATTTTATTCCAATTTTTTCATTATTCTAGATGTGTTAAGTATAGAGTGGAGCACTGACGTTTGGCTATTTACTTCCGCAATTTTGTACATAGAAGTCACGTCCCTTGTTATGAACACATTTTTAATTATGGATAAGAGGAAGTACATCTCCAAATTTATATTCAACGATAATACTTTTTCAAATATACGATATATATCGATAGTCGAGCAAGCAAAGATTAATTATATATTAATTTCTACTAAAATTATAAAATTTGGAGATTACATCCTTTTTTTTCTGAAAAGTTTTATATATCTTTAGAATTTAATCTATAGTGATGCTTACCCCTTTTTTTTTTGTACAGCTATCACAAACTAACGTAAAGATTTGCAAAAATGCAATATTACAGGAAAGTAAGTAAAAAAAAAAAATAAAATAAATAAATAAATAAATAAAAGATGCAAAATTCTTAAATAAAATGCTGAGAGAAAGAAAGAAAGAAAGAAAAAAAAAAAAAAAAAAAAAAAAAACAGCGACAGAGAGATCGTGCGTACCCTCGTGCTATAATGGCGCATTAAAAAATATTTACACAGATATGAATCCCATATCGTAAAAATTCATCCAACTCGAGATCTGGCTACGCTGAAAAGAATAGGTTGAAAAAAAAAGAGGAGCACAATGTTGTGCAAAACAACAGCTAGAGAGATGAGAACTCACAGGACTTACAGTCTATAAACATTTTGTGCGTATAGCAACGATATAAACTTTTTTTTTCTTTTTCTTTTCTTTGGCATATTGCGCTCTCCCTGAATGATTTTATTCTTCTACTTATTTGATCATTGCATTAAAAAAACATGAACGTTATTCCGCAGAGATGACTCATTTTTACGCGCGGAATTTCCGCTCGATACAAGGGACGGATTTCCACGTGCTTGTAACGGAAGTGGCGAGCGCGACCAAGCAACAAAATGACGCCTTTTTCGCGTGCCTCGTATTGAATTCGCGATATATTCGTATATTCACGTTTACGTGAAATATTCTTATATTTCCACCATCTCTTTCCATTCGTCTGTCTCTTTCTTACGATGCTTGGACGCGCCCTTGAAGAGCCCGCGTCCGGTGCTTCCATTCATTCATACGCGAGCACATTGTTACCTTCGTATTCTCGAATCGAGGGATTCTAATCGCAAACGACAAATATCCACGTGCGCGACGCACCAAGACGAAGCGAGAAGCCCGTAACGTCGAAACGTGAGCGTTCGCGTCGCTTGGATGCGAACGGATTACGGACGATGGCGACTGGCGACTCCCGCACGCCTTCGCCATTTTGTGAGGGACGCGTCGCGGGTCGTGGTCGCGACTTCGCGAGTCGCGAAGCTATCGTCGATATTCGCGAGAATTGCCGGACGAGGTGAAGATCCGCGAGCGATCCGAGACAATCGACGATCAAACGCGCGGGGAGAAATGATCGGCGGACGAATTACCTGTCCTCCTGAGATTCCTGACTGTTGTCCGCGGCGTCGCCGCCGGCACCGCCGTTCTCGGCATCGCCGTTCTGCTCGGCAAAGTTCTGCTCCGCGATATCCTCGCTGAAATCCTTGCCCTCCTGATCGGCCATCGTCGTTTTCTTGCGTTTACGCACGGCGTAAGTAAACACGTGGACTCGCACGCGACGCTGCTGCAACTGGACACACTCGAGTAAAGGATCGTATTGCGACTGCACGACACGTCCGTATCGTTCGATTGCCGAATGGAGAAGACCGGGCCAGGCGTCTCGCGTTCCCTCGTTCCTCTCGGCTCTCGGCTCGTGATGTCGTGATTCACAGGCGCGAAGCATCACGGGACGCGCGCATTCACTCTCGACCAATCGCGCGCCATCGCTTCAGGATCGTGCGACGCGCTCTAGGTATCCCTTCATCTCGGTCCGAGATTTATCTCGTCAAGGTAACGCGCAAATTTCGCCGCGTCATTTCTCCGACAAGATCTAGACGTAGAGGTTTTCTATAATCTAACAAGTGATCGATCTCGTTACCTTTTCCTTATATGTAAAGACCTGATGAGTGTTTTCATTCAGCATTCGTCGAGCGAGTTTCATTCATGAATAACGTAAACAACGAAAGCTTATACGAGATGATTTGATTCATCTCGACTTTGATTACTAAATTTCTTTGTTGAATGAATCGCGTGTTTGCTGTTGGAGAAGATGAATATCGTAAGAAAAATGATTGATCTATTTAATCAATTTTTTAATGGATCTATTTCTTAATTAAAATTGTTTTATTTTATACGAATTTACTAGCTTGCATTTTACTTTACACTATCAAACATAAAGTATTAAAATGCTTTAAATTATAATCTTTACGAACTCGATATTTTTTCAAGTTTAATTAGTATATTATATATTTATATCAGATTCTTAAATTGTGAATATTTAAAAAAGATCGTTGCATCAAGTATATATTAATTTGCTTTAAATAGACTTTATATAATGACACAATAATTGTAGCGAAATAAAGAATTTTATTCTATTGATCTTCTCTGCTAGAAAAAAAAAATAGTATAACGAACAGTCATGCGATCGACGAAAACAAGCCGAGTGTTTACGTTCCTGATTACATTCCAATCGATGAGCAATGGCGGGGCGGGAGTGCGTCATCGGCGTAGCGGGGCAGGGATGAGAGAGTAGAACATGGAGAGGGGAAAGAAGAGACGGATTTAGCGACACGCATACCGGAAGTTTCGTCGACTAGACTGGCGGGAAAGCGGACAGCCAATAGGGTCGCTGGAAAGTACCGTGCGCGACTGTCGGCTAATGGGAGATCGCGGAGGATCCCGCTCAATTTCGCTGTCGCATTTCCCGACAAACACGTTCGTCTCTTCAAAATCAATAACGTTTCACGCTGGCCAAGTAAATTTGATCGCTCGTAATACTGCTGAATTGCTGGATCGACATCGCGGCGATCGATGAAATAAACGAAGCATTGTATACATTTTGACACATTGTATACATTTTGCGACGTACACAAATAGGTAATATATATATATTCTTTTTATTCTCATACAGTTTTATAGCGTCGGCGCGGACGCCCAAGTTTGAGCTGGATAAATTATAACCAATTTGTTTTTCAGCGCCCATGGATCTAATAATTACTTTTTGGAGTCAAAGTCCATCGATCATATCGATTATCACAAACGTTCTAGAATGTATGTATATTTTAAAATTATTTTCATCAAAATAACCAATAATCTCTTTCATTTGTAAAGCTTTTATCTCAAAAGGTACGTTATTGTACCTCGTTTTTCATTACAACAACTTGTATATTTCTACAAAAGGATGATAACATAACGTTGTTGTATGAAACGTTTGCAATTCGCAAGTGCGAAAATTTGAGAATATAATTTAGTTTGAACATACTTTTATATACAAGGTATTTCGTCGCTAATTTATATATATTTTGTACCTCGTACAACAACTTGTATATTTCTACAAAAGGATGATAACATAACGTTGTTGTATGAAACGTTTGCAATTCGCAAGTGCGAAAGTGCGAAAATATAATTTAGTTTGAACATACTTTTATATACAAGGTATTTCGTCGCTAATTTATATATATATATATATA